AAACAGTTAAGCATTAAGCAGAGTCATCCACTGTGACTCTGGTAGTAACTACCTCAGCCTTTTTCCTTTTATTTTTTCTTTTCTTTTCATGATGACAGTGGTGAGGCCCTGCCTCCCCTGCCTCCCCTGACTGCACGTTACCTCAGGGAAAAGGGCAGCCTATAAATAAACTTAACTAAAACTAAACTAAACTAAACAAGGGGAAAATATATGACTGAAAGAGTTGAAATTTACATTATGATTTAAAAGAGAACTTTTTATATATTGATGTACATTTGTATATGACTCCAGAAAAATAATTTATCTAGTATAAAATAGTTCAGATTTCTGTGGTAAATATGAAGTGTCTTTATCATACCCGGTAGACTGCAAAAAAGCCAGAAAAGTTTGCTTCGAATACAAAGAAACATTAATATCCAGTCAAAACCAGAACTCTTTTTGCTGGTGCTATTAAATTGAAAATTTAAAAAGACTTATGGAATATTGGTTTTATATATAACTGCTGTGACATTATTATATGCAAAGAAAAAATGGAAAGACCCTGAAATTCCCACAATTGAGAAATGGCTGGTGAGGATGGCAGAATAAGCAGAGAAGACAAAAATGATTTGTTTAATTGAAGAAAGGACAATAACTATTAGTGACTGGAAACCCTTTATGGACTTTTTGCTTTTAAAAAAAGGAATAACATGAACGTAATTTATAGCTTTCATTACTAGAAAGGGTAGATTATGGAATGAAGCAAATTATGGTCTACCCTTACAGAGAGAAAGAGTAAAATATAAATGCATTTATAACTGCTGTTAAGGTTGGAAACTGCTTGTTTATATTTTTTTCTTTTCTGTCATTTTCTTTATTTTTTTCTTTCAAAACTTGAATGGTTTTATTATTTTAAAACTGTTTAAAGTAAAAATTATATATATATTACAAAACAACATTTGGGACAATTTTTTTTCTGGGGAAAAAAATCTTTTTTCCTCCATCTGGTTTAAAAGTTCTGGAAATTAGTATTAGCTTATAATGTGTCAAAAGAGAATTTATTCCCCTGCCATGTTGATTAATGTCTCTTTTTTCCAGGCAGTAAAAAAAATTCTTTCAGGAAATAATGTTGACCATCTTAATGAATGCAGGGAGTCCTCAACTTATATCAGTTCATTTAGTAACCGTTCAAAAGCATTGAAAAAGATCACTTAGGACCATTTTTCACACAACAATTGCATGACTGTCCCCACAGTCATGTAATCTAAATTAGGATGCTTGGGGAAACAAGATTTACTTAACAACCCAGTTACTAAATTAACAACTGTGTTAATGAAGTGACTCACTTAACAACTATGGCAAGAAAGGTTGTAAAATGGGGCAAAATTCACTTCACAAATGTTTCACTTAGTAACAGAAATGTTGGGCTCAATTGTGGTCGTAAGTCGAGGACTACCTATATAGCTGAGCTATTTTATATTTATATGGATATTTGTTCAAAAGTAGCTATTTTAAAGACAGAATAACTTGAGATGGTGAAATGAAAAATCCTGGCTTACTAGGCAGCTCTTGGCAAGGGAGGAATGACACCAAGTTAATGTTACATGGGCATAAACCAGAGACATTTAGCTGTCTTGTTATATATGAATTGTGCTGTATTAATTACCTGTTTTTTTATTTGGCATACCTGGTCAATAATCTTTTTATATTCCAAATGTGTCCTAATAATTATATGTTTCTGCTTCTGTAAGGAGGAAAAATATTTTGAAGCGCACATTACTATTACTGTAATAAATAGTATCCTTTTAATACTTCCTGATTAAATTTATTACTTTAAAATCAAGAAATTCTTTTAAAGATTATTTTAAGTGGATGCAGAATGCTTTTAATTTGTTTCTACTTATGGCCTTATTTCTGATCAATGTTAAACAATGAATGCCTACTCCATAGTCCCAGTCTTTGTATAGTGTACTTGGATCCATGAGAATAATGGATCCATTTTCTGTTAGATTGTGATGTCATTTATTTGAAAATTGCTGTGACATTTATTATAGCATCTTCTGAGAACATGTGGAGGTATCATATAAGGTTCAATATATGGAATTTTAGTAGTGTAGTTTCTAGGCAATAGTCTTTTTATCATGCTTGTAGCAAAACTTTTTATATAGCTCTGGCATCTTTCTTGAATATCAAAGCACAGCAATGCCTGATCAGAGTATAGTGAAAGCAAAGGAATTTAAAATTTTAAAGTCTGTTTACTCTTTTCCATCTCTTAGAGCAATAATGACATTTCATAGCATGAAAATGGAAGAAATTAACAAGATAATTCGTGACCTGTGGCGAAGCACGTACAGGGGACAAGGTACATACAGAGTATATATTTGCAGTAGGTTTTATCCAGGCTGGGGGAGTATTGGAGATAAAATTTTGAGATCATTTTTCTTTAAGATAAAAATAGATTTATCATTCATTCCTAGACAGGTTATATAATCTTTCATAATAAGCAATATGCCATTTCCAGTTGAGTCATCTCAATTGATACATTTATATGAATTCTTTCCTGTTTCTTGCCTTCTTATATCGTCATCATCTTACTCTTAACAGATTTCTATATATTGCATTGCTGAGTTAACCAGAATTCTGCATTTTGAAATTTCTTTTAACTTTTAAAAAGTAATACCTTTCGCATTTACATTTCTGAAAAAAAAAATTGTGAGCGGTGCATTGGAGAGTAGTTTGGAAAATGTATTCTCCTTGGCTAACGGATGCAAAATGAAAATGCATAATAAGTACCTAAACAAGATCTGGAAAAGCTTTTGACAAAAATCTGAACTAATGTAACTATATTGTGGACAAATGACTTATGCCTACGTGGTAATAGAGTGGATTTATGCCGTAGATAATGATTAGAATGCTTTAAGGAAAAGAAAATTGCTTTGGCAATTAACTACATAAAATTGTTTTTTCCCCCTAAAGATATTGACTATATAGAAATTCGGTCTGATGCTGATGAGAATATATCTGCTTCTGACAAAAGGAGGAGTTACAATTACAGGGTAGTCATGACAAAAGGAGACACTGCTCTAGATATGAGGGGCAGGTGCAGTGCTGGCCAAAAGGTATGTAGTATTGTTTTCATGCCAATTCATTGATTTGTAGACATTTATAACAGCAATAGGATCTAGAGCACCGGTATCAAACTTACCGTGTCACATTGCCATCATGTGACCTATTACAATGTTTTTTTCCCTTTGCGGAGCTTGGTTGGTCATGGCTTGTACATGATGCATCCAGCCCATGGGTCTCCAGTTTGACACAGTATTAGTTGAAAAATTGAACTCAGAAATAGTGACCCCACAATTAGCGAAGCACCGTGGAATGAAAAAGAACAAAGAATTAATTCATATTTTCTCCCCAGGTAAAGATTTATGGAAAATATACAGTACTTATTAAACCCAATGATCTGTACAGAGCTGATAAAAGAACTGCATTCAGATGATCCTGTTTGTGTTTAATTGGAATAAGACTCAAATTGTCATTTTGTGTAAAGTATCCATCAAACTATAGTTTATATTCTTCTGTACCTAGAATTATTTGTTTTAGAATAGTTTTAATTCTCAGCTTCAGATCATCTTTGCTTCCAAAGCATTCTAATGTGAGAAACACTGACGATGTTTTTTTAGCCCATTTTTTCACATGAGCATTGGAAAGAGTAAAGTGGTTACTTGGAGCAGTATAGTTTGCATTATCTATAACAGGGATGTCCAAATGTGGGAACTTTAAGACTTGTGGACTTCAAAAGTTGAAGTCCACAAGTCTTAAAGTTCCCAAGTTTGGACATCCCTGGTCTATAGAGATTCTCAGTCATTCAGCTCATAGTTGACTCAGAGGAGCTTTTTCTTTTTCCTTTTTATTAAAGTTTTTTTTAATTTTCAAAACAAACACAACACATAAAATCTTCCTTTTTTACATACTGTAGAAAGTGTATCAGTTGGTTACAAAAAACTTTTGTCCATCTCTTCCACAGTCATCAAGCATAATTCATATTAACTCAAGTATTTTAACTCAGATATTTATACATATTACCATCGTCATGCCTCCATTTTCATTTGACTATAGTTGTTTAAATGTCCATCATAAAATATACCAAGGTTTAATACATAACCTCCTCCGGATTCCATCAGCTAGCCAGTGTCGACTGTCGACCCCCCAGGGGAGGGCCTTCTCTGTGGCTGCTCCGGCCC